TTTTACCAATGTATTGGCGCACAACATATTATCAATAGTAAAAAAAAAACGTATTACATTTAATGTTCTTTAAAAAAAAAGGGTGCTTACTTCCAAACTGAAATATCAACTTCAAAGTATCTTATCTATTTTTGCTTGACATTCACAGGAAGAATATTAAAAGTCCTCATTGGCAATAAAGATACAGAGGTTAAGCTATCCTAAACTTGCATTTCAATTTCATGTATTTATAGTGTTGTGCACTTAATGTCTATTAATGTTTAGGTACTTCTGTGATGTATTGTACTTTGTGGACCTTTTCAGCTACAAATGGCTGCCTCTGCTGAGGTGTAGGGCCGGGGATCAGATTTAGCTCAAAGCAACGAAAAGCTCATACCACCACACAAATGAACAGTTTATTTAAAAACGCTGTGCAGAAAACAAGGCAATTTTAAGATGATCAATTTGACACCAAACCCTGATAGTAAAGACTGAAAAAAGATTCCAGGTAAAACATCCGTGCAGGAAGGTGATCATGATGCTTGCGATTGGTTCACTGCTCAATATTACTCATGTGTAGAGCTCAAAGTCTATTCTTTTGGAGTTGTAGAACTGAGATCCCTGCTGATCCACTCTCCTGCAGTACACCCCAGTGTTGAAGTAGCCTTCATCCACCCAGCCCTGGAAGACAGACAGGAAGAAGATTAAAGTTCACCAGGAAGGGCTTTTCTTTCCTTCTTTTATCTTTGTAAGACAATAACCTGCATCTGCTGGCTTGTGAAGGGGCCGTAGATTTCTGAATTGTCCACGTTTTCCCATTTGTACTCCCACATTACGTCATCATTCACTGTGAAAAAGATGAAATCAGATTAAACAGAAGAGACGTCATGTAGTAATTAAAATGTTTACAAGCAAGACTAAGTAACCTCTTTCGTTTTCTTCCTCTTCGTCTCCTGACTTTTTATCAACCTTTTCATCGAATTTATCAGCAAACATGTCGAGCTCGTCCTCTTCTTCGTCGTTGTCTTCGCTGCGTTTCGGCCCCACCGCTGGCTGCTTGCTGCGCATGCTTTTCATCCTGAACGCCAGTTTTTCGTAGGTTTGTTGATAGATTTCAAACATCCCAGACCCAACCAGTCTGTCAGCCAAAGCTGTGAGCTTGTCGAGCTTTTCGGCGTCTCTTTTGTTCTCCTCCGTGGCCTCGGCCTCTTCCCTGAGCTTTCTCCTCTTTTTTCCTCCAAGGCCTCCTAGCCGACGGAGTGCGGCAGCAACCGTTTCTCCAGGTTGCATCAATTCAATCACAGCCTCTGTGAGCTGGTGCTGAGTGAAGGACGCCAGGGGGTCCTCTGCAGGCTCCACCTCCTCCTCGTCTTCTTCCTCTTCTCCTGCCTGCTGCTCTTCCCGCCGCTTTTCCTCCTCTGCCTCATCCTCATCTCCAGCTCTGCGTGCTCGCTTGGCTCCAAGACCTTTCTTCTTCTTTTTGACAGGCTGCTCTTTAATTCTTACCTATAAGATGGTAAAACATCAATTACAAATTGTTTAAGAGCTGTCAGAAATAAAAAGAAAGTGTTGATTTCTATAAGAAATTACTATTAACCCAGTCGATGTTGTCCAGCCAGTTGTCTCTAATCTGCTTTTCCTTTTTGATGAAATAGTTTCCCTCTGAATCAAAGTGTCCTTCCTCCATTTCCTCTTCCAGGTTAAACGGAGTAATTGGTACTCCCTCGTCAAAGTCGATTGTTGCTCCTTCTTGCCCTGAAAAAACAAATGAACGGTTAATGATGAGCATTGTTTAGTTAAGGTTTGAAAGTTTTGAGTTAAATCTGAAAGGATGAAGCAGAGATGAGACACTTTAATTAAAAAGCTGCCTTGATCTGTTGCAAAACCTGGATGTTTTTTCACTGAAACAGTATACAGACATGTTGTAAAATTACTAATAAACTCAGACATGACTAATTATCCCAAACAAAAATGTACCTTCCACATCGTCACTGGCAAGAATGTCATATTTGTTGCTCCTTTTTTCCTCTCCTTCATCTTCTTCATCGCTGTCAAGGGAATGTTTTCCCTTGAACCTGGAGCCCGGTCCACTGACAGCCTCACAGGTCTTCTTTAAACAATTGTAAAAAGAAAAAAAAGTTGAATAAATATGTCAGACTTTTTTTTCTTCTAAGTATTCACTGAAGTTAATTGTTTAGGTCCCATAGTAAAGCTGAAGTGATTCTCATATTTTTCCAGCAGAGCTTTTTGCTCTGTCTGCAGGTCTATTTGTGATGTATAACGTTTCTAAAAATAGAATGAGAGGCTAAGCCTTCAGTAATCAGGCCTTTGGGTTCAAGAAGTAGTCTCTTCAATACAATGTTTGAGACACTTGTACACTTTCTTCGTTAAATTTTTCAGTATTATTTATATATTTTGAACTTTGGTGTATAGAAATAATAAAGGAGTTGGAAAAAAACAAATAATTAATATCCTGCACCAAAAAAAACCCCAAAGAAAACAAGCAGGAATAAAGTTAGATGAACTATTAACTGCATCTAAATGATCAAACTAATTCCAGTTCCTGCACTTTGTGGTAACTTCACAAATATATTAAGTTACAAGGCTTGTTGATTATCATAATACAAATTCCCGTCTTCTTGATGGCTCCAAAAAATTATTTTAATCAAATAAGATCGTTGAACTCTGACTCGACAACTTTCTTCTAAGCCCTGATAAACACCCAGACACCTGCATTACCTTTTTACTGAGGCCGTCGTCTTCCAGGTCTAACTCTCCGTTACCGTCCTCAAATGTGACTTTTCTCTTCGACATTGTGCTACAGAAAGTCAACAGAGCAAAGTATTTCACCCCGCAAAACAACAGAAGGTGAGCGGAAACGCAACGGAGTCGTCTTATAACACCTTAGTAACCATAAAACTCATTTTAGCTTTAGAGCTAAAATGTTAGCCAATAACAAACGGCGCATGCAGCTCAAAATCTACAGCGTTTACCTAAACTCAATGAATACTTATCTACAAGATTAGGTCAGGCACTTAATATGACATGCATACAGTAATTATTTGACATATTGTTTAGGGAATATCATTAAATTGACAAAACGCGGTAAAAACCTGCTTGAAGTTATTCAAAGAACGTTCGTTTTCATTTCTTGTTCGTTGGTTTTTCTCTTCTTCTGTTGTAAACATATGTTGTCACCATTGGCGTGACATAATACCGCCGCCTCCTGGTGTGGAGGACTTGTTGCATTTGTATTTCAGACATTTTCAGTCGTCAGTCACAATTATTTTTCAATGTTTTTTTAATCGTTTCAGGATTCTGATTAGTCCATGAATATAATTACGATTAAGTATGAGTTTTAGTGGTATTGTTTATGTAAAACAAAAATGTCTTTACTAAATCTTTACTATGACTTCCTCCTATAATCCACCATAGTAGTGACTGTGAATATATTGGGGTTTTTTTTGTTCGATCACTTGTACAATTTTCATATTTTGTAATCAACATGAAGGTTTTCTGATTATTTCCTATTTTTCCAAACAGATCATTCCTGACTATTTGAAAATGGATATACTTTTTTTTTCTGATTTAGCCACAATACATTAGTTTATAAATCAGGGGTTTGTGTATTTATTTTCCATGTCTATTAAGTTTGTCTGTTTAGGTGTTGTCACACAAGTTAGAATCTTAACTGAATCATAAAGCCGAACCATGTGAGGGTAAACCTCAGTGTTGCTCAGCATTGCTGTGTGTTTGGCCAATTGTAACCACTGCATTTCTTAAAATATTGTCTGAATCATTAGATATTCAAGTCAGAATTTAGCATCTTTTCTGTAACCAAATCATTTGCTGATGTCTTTTTCTTTTGCTGCTATCTTAAATTCTGACATTATACATGGAGAAAATTTTCCAACTTTGTGAAGATTATTTGTGTTGAACATATTCAATCAGAGGAGTCTGTTGTTCACACAGTGGAATCCAACGTGCTATTTCCGCCAACCATCAGAAACTGAAATAAAGCAGAAGTGAGAGAGCGAAGGCAGATTCAAAGCCCACTTCAATATTTAGCATCTCACTTCCAGGACGCACCTTTAGATGTTGAGGCTGGTTTCGACAGCTCGATTCAGCCGGGTGCATGCTCAAGAGAGAATATAAAATGTCCGTATATTGTTACCAGGAAGTGGGTCGAGTTATTTATATTTCAACACTGGTCCTCTGGTGCTGGTAGGAGAAACAGTGACAGTAACCTGACACTAAGTGTTCTAACATTGTCAGATGGCGGTCTAATCAACCTGCTGGAGGACTGTCGGCTTTGCCCTGAGAAACAAGGAGAATCAGGAGAAAATATCCATGAATGAAGATCATTTTATGGGTATGTAAAGTGACCCTGTGTGGGATTTAACCCTGGCAGAGGTAAGTCTGAGTCACTGTTGTTCATTATACTGCTGTAGTCACTGGACAAAAATACAATTTGAACGGTGACTAAGAAAATGTATTTGACTCTATTATTTTATCAATACAATGATAACTTGTGCAAAGATAAGAATGTTTACATCTGTTGACTGTTCAAATTCAATCAATTAGAGTATTTTTATAAATGCGCACTTGTAGAAAATAGATATTTTTGTATGTGCAGTCCCAAATGCT